CCTGGCCAAAGCAAAGGGCAGGAGACATGCTGAAGGTAACCTGACAGGGTGGCTAGGGAGAGAATCACCTTGACCTTTTTTTTTTTTTTAAGATTTTACTTATTTACTCAACAGAGAGAGAGAGCACGAGATGGGGGCGGCAGAGAGGGAGAAGCAGGCTCAGGGAGCCTGACATGAGGCTCGGTCATGACCTAAGCCAAAGGCAGGCGCTTAACCCACTGAGCCACCCAGGTGCCCCCTCTGATTTATAGTTTCAGGCACAAAAAGGGATTGAGCCAGTGGGACTTGTTTTTCTGAAATCTAGGCTGCTGGTGACCCAAGACCGTGTAAGCCGGGGACTTCAGTCCAGGAACAATGAAGATTTACTTTCACCATCACCTCACCCTCACTTCTCTCCCCACCTATGCGGAGCATTCTCTTGAGGTCAGGTAGGAAGTGCAGTGTGTCGGCATTCGGAGGAACGGGAATAATGATGGCCAGTAGTAATGACAAGCTCTCAGGTTCCAAGCCCTCTCCACAGACTATTCCAGCCTCACACCGTCCCTGAGACAGGTGCTACTGTTAGCTTTTCCTTTCCACACATGAGGGGTCCAAGTCACAGAGTGATGAACCGCCCAGCTTACTCAGCTGGTTTGTGACAGCAGAGCCATCTGCAGCATGTGGCGTTGCTCCGGAGTGGGGCCGTTCTGTTGGGAGAGTGAAGGCCCCCTGGCTTGGATGGGCCCAGGAGTTCAGAAAAGGCTAATTTTCAGCACTACCCGTTCTAAACAAGCAGGCTTTATGATGCTTGAAAGCTGATGGAAGCTCCCTTCCTTCCTGGAACATTGGCTAGAGTTTGACAAGTCTCTGATTTCCAAGGTCACTGCTTCCCCTCCCTGCAAGCCAGCACGGACTGGCTCCTTTCCAGTCTTCGGGCCCCTCATCCATCTACCATTGCCCTCAAAAATAACTGCTTAATGGCCCTCCAGTAACTGCAGCCAACTCCTTAAGGGCTCTTGAGAGGAGATCATGTGGGAAAGCTAACAGAACTCATCCAACTTTTAAAAAGTGAGCTTTGATCAGCTCTTTCCTTGCCTCCACCTTCCCAGATGATTTAAATTGGTCTGCTTCACCTCTCACAGAGCTCTCCCCACCAAGGGCACAGGCAGAGCAAATCCGTCCTGGATATAAAGTGCAAAAGTTGGGAGGGAAGAGAAGGGATGTTTGAAGCCAGAAGGTTCAGACCCAGTTCTGAGACCAGAATTCCTTTCCCAATCCAGCTCATGACTAGCGACTTCACCTGGTTGCCATAGAAATATTAGTCTCTGTTGGATGGCAAGCAGCATTTTTGACAGAAAGCATCAGAGGCTACCATGGTAACACCAAAAAGAGTAAAAGCTGCCTTCTTCCTGGAGGGGTGAGGAAGGAATGGAGGATGCCAGGGAAAGCAGGCTAGAAGGGACAGGCGTCGGAGAGCGTAGCTCTGACTTGAACAGAGAGGGAATTAATTCGACAGACACCTAATACGTGCAAAGCAAAGCAATAATGAAAAAGACATGTCTATGGCTGGCCTCATCAGGCTATAATCATCTGGTAATAGAGTTTATACAGAAATGTAAAAAAAGGTAGAATGAGACTTGTAACAGGACAAAGAATCCTGAAAAGGGAAATCAACCAGCAAAGCTTCAGAGTCTTAAAGGGGAGGATTCCGACTAGCAGAAGAGGGGCAGAGAGAACAAGATGAGCAAACATGGAAGTGGAGGGTGCCTGGGTGGCTCAGCTGGTTAAGCGACTGCCTTCGGCTCAGGTCATGATCCTGGAGTCCCGGGATCGAGTCCCGCATCGGGCTCCCTGCTCAGTGAGGAGTCTGCTTCTCCCTCTGACCCCCACCCCCCTCATGCTCTATCTCATTCTAATAAAGAAAAAATTAAAAAAAAAAAAAAAAAAACATGGAAGTGGAAAAGTTCAGGACATACTGAAAACTCTGGGTACAGAGGTAGAAAACGCAACTCCCAGGCCTTGGCTCCCAGGAGGGGCAGGCTGAGATTAGGATCTAGGAATCTGAAGCTAGACTGCCTGGGTTGGAATCCCAAACTTGCTGTGTAATCATAAGGCAGGTTACTTACCCTCTTTGGGTATCCATTTCCTTGTTCGCAAAGTAAAAATGGTGAAAGTCTACCTCAGAGGGTCGTTGTGGGGATTAAGAACTCAGTACACATAAAGTGACTAGAACAATGCCTAACCCGCAACAGCCCTGCACCAGTGTCGACAATTACCATCATACCACCTCCCACTTTTCAGAGCCAGCACAGCCTCTCCTCACCATCCAACTATTACTTTCTCATTCTCACCACACTGCTTCTGTAACAGAGAAAGGAGAGGCTGTGGTTCACCATCTCCCTTCAAGTTGTAAACTCCTTTCCCTTCCTCATAAGCACCAGGACTAAAGGTTCAAAGGGCAAGCCCCTGCTTCCTCTGGTCACTCACATCTGGGGGCTGTTGGAGCCTAAGAAGGAAGTAGGCAAAAACTCAATTTCAAGCACACGTAAGTTTAAAGAACAAGGAGGAAATACGCTGCCTTAGACAAGACAGAAGCCTAAGTCAGGTGAATGTCTCCTGTTTAGAACCGAGGACAGCTGGGCAACTCTGCACTAGAAGAGGATCTGGGCCAGCCTCTCTACCCACACCTGAGCCACTATGCCCAGGCAAAAGAGGCTCAGGAAGGTTTCCTTCACCTTAGGAGGCTGTTTGCTACCCCCTCCTCTCTACTCCAACCACCCCCAATGCAGGGATGAGTAACTAGAAGGCACTGAGTCACATGTGTTGATTCTGGCTGTCACCCATTAGATGCTGTCACCTTTTATGGGTTAGACTAGAGTAGTTGCCTTAGATGTTTCCTCACTTCCAGCACTGTCTCTCCCCCAGCAAGAGGCTGTATGAGGAACTAAGAAGGGTTGGGGGGGAGAACTGAGGCGGAAGGAAGCAAAGTGAAGGCAGGCCAAGGTAGGCAGGCATGGGAACGAAAGGAAACCAAGCAGAGACGGGCACCCATCTGATGAGGGCAGGGAGGCAGGCAAAGCCTGTGGGTATTTATAGTTTGCAGGAGTTCAAGAATGCCCTGAGGAAGTCTGGTCCCGAGCCTCAGGATAACTAACAAAAATGGTCCACACTGTTTTTCAGGATGCATTAGCAGCCAAATCAATAACTATAGGGGGGTTGGGCCCTAGCCAGCTACTACCTAAAAACAATGCATCCTCCTTCCCTTCCCCCGGGCCCAGAGAGCAAACCAGGACAGGGAAAGGGTGGGGGTGGCGGCAAAGGCAACAGGAGCAAGGAGGCTGCAGCAGGCGGCGCTGAGGGGAGATCAAGAGCTAGTTCTGGGTCCCAGTGGCCTTTTCTGCCACAAGCAGGTGCCAAGTACCTAATACTTCAGTGTGAAAAGCAACCCCAGAAGCTAGTATCACCGAAAAACCGTCCCTCTGCTTAGAAGTCTGAGAGCTGACAAATTAAAACCCAACAGCAATTATCCATATTTTTAGCATGACAATAAAGTCTTAACATTCTGTTGCCATAGAGACCGGTAGAGAATGGAGGAGACCCACAGAGCTCTGCCCCTGAACTTCAGACATTCTTCTCTAGGCTGGTCCCTACCCAGTGAGCCAGGTTACGAGGCAGGCCCCTTGTCATAAGCCTTACAAAGCAGGTAGAGGAAGATGTGCGCATCTCCTTCCTCAGGACAATTCCTGGAATACTCAGCATTCTGGAATTCACTGGTCCCAAGCCTGTGTCATCCCAACCAGAGTCACATGAAAAGCAAGAGTTGAGGGGACTGACTGAGGAATAGTGGACTTCAGGCCTGGAGAGCCCTGATGTATGAGGCCAAAACCCCTCTGGATACTGGACTGGGAGTTCCGTTACAAAAGGGCCAAAGGCGGGTACAGAGACTAATGGTAAGACTGGTGAACTTAGGAGGGTTCTCTGGCACTTAAACTCCTCAAGATCACAAAACACCTCTAGCCGAAGGTGCAAAATGTGCTACCGTCACACTGCCATCTGGTGGAAAGACAAGATCTGTCCTTAGGCGCAGAGACAGCCTGTTAGTGTGCCCAGTGACAAGGTAGGTTTGGAAATATTTAAGATTGGGGGGAATAGTTAAGATGAAGACATATGGAAGAGACCCACGGGACTGAGAGTATAATGCAGACAGATGGGGAACTCCATCCAGGTGTGTGTCTTCTGTCCATTTTAATTTCTAAGGAAGGTTAGATAAAACAAAATTAAAATAAAGGGAAAAAACATAAAGGCATTACAAATGTTTTATATCCCTAGAACCATTCACGGTTTTGGCTCATGAGAAGTTATTAACATCAGACACACCAACGGACAGAGACCACACACACATGGGCAGCAGCCACCACAACAGTGGAGCTTGCCTTTTATACAAAGTTTGTATGTATATATGCACGTGTGTGTGTACGTATGCATGTGTGTGTGCACATACATATACACACATACATATACATATATATTTTATGTACACAGACACAAGGGTATAAAATCCAGTGAAAAGGGCTCACATGTGCCCAGGCAGGGGACAGGGGCAGCTTTAACAGCTGGGGTTGAGCCCACGGTAGAGGCACATGGGAAATGGTAGAGAGTAGCAGCCTCCTCTCCGTCCTTCCGCCCTGCGCCACAGGAAGGACCTGGGAGGAAGGACAACTATAGGAAGATGGAAGATACTGGAAAGGTATCCCACCTTTCACTGAACTCCTGAAAGCCCCAGCCCTAAGCCATCCAAAAACCTGGCAGGACACTGGCAGGACAGATCACTCCCACAACTCCCAGCAAGATGTGGTTCTGGCCCCAGGCTGAGGCTTAAGGCAGGCTTCACAATGCGCATGTCCGTGCCATCTTCCAGGCCTGTGCAGCAGCAAGCCAACACCTTCAAGGTTCACCGCCCCCAACCCCAAACTCCAAAGTCCTCTTGGACCAGAGGTCTTAAGGGTTTTCCTCAACAGACTGTAGGGAAAAGGTATAGGAAGAGGAGAGAGGTTAGTTCCTTCAGTTAATGCCCTATGGCCTTCCCAACGGGGGAGCAATCGAGGAATCACCAAGAGGTGGTTGGAAAGAGCAATGAAGGTCATCCCAGAAGACAACATACGCGGAGAAACAGGTGTTCAACAGGTGCAGATTCTGTCCTCTTCGACTAGTGGCTTTGCTCAGCAGAGTCCATTCCCAATGGGGCCCTGGGCAGGAGCTCTTCTCGAGTCCAAGGGTGGCCCCAATTCCCGCAGAGCCCACGTCCATGCGCTCAAGATGGCTTGGTCCACAAAATGGAGAAGGGGCCATGGAGAGGTCGATGTGGAGACGGGAGCGGCAGGACCCAGAGGCCCAGGGAGGCAGTGTACTATACCACTGACTTACCTATGGCAAGGAGAAGAGATCAATGGGAAGCTAAAGGAAAGAAAATAACCAAAGACTAAACTGAGCCAGACCCTGAGACTCACATGGTCTGAGGAGTAAAGAGGCTAGAAAGCTGGAAGCACTGGGAGGCGATTGCCTGGGAGGCGAGGTTCAGGGCTGGACTCAGAGCTGCAAGAGAGAGAGGCACGACGAGTTAGTGAGCACAGAGCATTCCCTCTTTCCAGGCCCCAACCCCCCTTCCCTTTCCCAAGTCCAAGTCTACCAGTCAGAGCCGCAGGGTTCAGGGCCCCCAAGGGAACTGTCCCGTTCAGTTGCAAGGCAGCAGCAGCCTGGGCAGCGGCGGCAGCAGCTGCAGCTGTGGTAGGCAACTGGATTCCAGAGCCTAAAAGGGAAAGAGAAGTTGGTGTTAAGTCCCAACTCCTGATCTAAAATTCCACCCCACGTTCTTCACTCTGCAGAGAAACTCTCTCCACCTTCTGCCAATTTGGCCATGAGCTGCAAACGTCCACCTGCAGATCCCAGATCCAGCTCCTGGTCCCCATCCGGAAAAGTGATGTCTGTGCCACCATCCAGTCGCTCGGTCACATGGCCAACTCTCATAGGTCGACCAGCAAGCTCAAAGCCATTCAGCTGTTCCAGGGCCCGCCGGGCACACTCAGAGTCTGAGAACTACAAGAAACCCAGGCCGTGTATCAGTCACTTCCTGGCCACGGACATGTTCACAAAGCCCTGCCACCACCGCCTAGTCCTGCTATCCCAGGAAACTGCATGCTCACTGTGGCACAAAATGTTCTGTCCCAGGGAATGTGACCCCCATCCCCCCAAAATGATCATGTGAAAAGGACCTTTTCCAACTGACTCAATGGCAATCACTTCCAACTTCCAGCTCCACTAAGAACCTAATAATGCAAAAAGTCTGTTATCTATAGGGTGGCCTACCCTTACATGCTGCTTCACAAATAAGCATATCAATGGAAAAAAGAGAGCCTGAGAGTCAAGGTTCCTGGGCTTTTCTAATGTCAGCCCTTTGGACTAGTCAGTTTCAATTCTCAATCAAGAAGTAGGAATCTGGAACTCCAGAGCCCAGCCGTAGGAGGGAGTGCACCCTGGCATGGAGAGCAAGACTGCACCCTACCCCTACGCCTCCACCAGCGCTGCTGATCAGAGAGCTCTACCGCCCAGCAGCACTGGAGCAGCCTGGTATAGAAAAGATTCCAGTCTGCTGTTGAAGTGTCAACAAGGGTATTGACCGAAAAGGTGGCAGCACAAGGGCAAAAAAGCCTCACAAAAAATTTTCTGCATCTGAGTCACCAAGGAGTTAGAAGAAGTACTTGCCACCGTGAACACCAGGGCTTTGTTTCCTCTGGGAGCACCTGCCCTAGGGCCTGGCACGTGGTACTGACAATTCCTAGGCAGGTGGTGTAGGTGGTGGCCTGCCTTTACTGGATACTTCTGAGATGAGCAATACCCCTGGTAGAACACAACCTATCTCCCCTCTGCCCTGCAGGCAACTGCGGGGGGGTGTATGCTGCCTGGACTGAACCTAGAAAATATCAGCTTCTATGAGACTCTGTGGCCGGCAGCCAGTCCTCAGCGTGGAGTCACACAGGGCTAGAAGAACCAGTTATGGGAACTGGAAGCAATTTTGTTGGGAGTGTCAGGAAAAGGGAAGACGTGGCCTCGCTATTCTCCCTATAGCGGTCTCTGAATATAAAGATACTTCTCAATGGAGAAACTGCTTCAGATGGGGTAGTGCCAGAAAAAATAAATAAATCCCTATTCCTGCTCTGACCTTGAAAACATACCACGTCTATAAAAGCCCACACCTAACCTCCCTCATGCCCCCAACCTTTTAGCTGCAGCCTGAAATCATTTCTATTACCCAAAGAGCAAGTTGCGGCACCAGGGAAGCTGGTTGAACTCCTGGACACACCCATACCAGGGCCACTGACAGTGTGCAGGAGCAAAGCCAAGATCTCAAGCAATGCACTCATCTCAAGGGGCAGAAGGCTAGTCCAGGCTTCAGGCACCAGGGCTTATGGGTCATTTAGACAGTTCCTAAAGGAGGAGGATGAAGCTAAGCTGCAAAATCAGACAAGTGGACAAACTCACACTGAAATTCAAAAGTTAAAGACCAGAGACTCACCGTAATGAAACCATAACCTTTAGAACGGCCTGTATCTGAGTCCTTCATCAAGACAATATTATCAATCTGTTAAGAAGGAGAAATTATTAGCAATCTTTGGGCTAACCCGCACCTTTGATCTTTCCTGCCTGACAGTTCTAACTACCTCTAACTTTGTACCTCTAACTACCTCTAACAGTTCTAACTCTCCAAATCTTCTCTTTAAAAAGAGACAAAGGCCACCTCTTTCCAAAACACCTCTCCTGGCTCATCTTACTGAATCTGGACCCCATTATTTGAGTTCACGGTGCCTAACTTATCTGCATACTGAGCACTGTGAATATGAAGATGGAGCCTAACTTTGCCAGCACGGACCCATCCGCTCGTTCTGATGGACGCAGTGGGTTAATCGCGGTCAGGCAGAACAAAGAGATAGGCTCACCCTCCCCACTTTCTCCAATTCCCTTCAGAGTTTTCCATCACTTTTTTTTTTTTTTAAAGATTTTATTTATTTATTTGAGAGAGAGAGAATGAGAGATAGGAGAGCACAAGAGGGAAGAGGGTCAGAGGGAGAAGCAGACTCCCTGCTGAGCAGGGAGCCCGATGTGGGACTCGACCCCGGGACTCCAGGATCATGACCTGAGCCGAAGGCAGTCGCTTAACCAACTGAGCCACCCAGGCGCCCCAGAGTTTTCCATCACTTTCTACTCACTTTGCCAAAGGGCTCAAAGATGCCCCGGAGCATGTCCTCCGTGATATTGAAGTGCAGGGAGCCCACATAGAGGCGCATTGGCCCGCTGCTGCCCTTCTGCAGGTTGTTGGCCATGGCTGCCAGTCGGTTTTTCTCAGCCTAGGCGAGGAGGAACCGATAGATTGCATCCCACACCCCCTCCCTCCAAGGCCATCTTCTCATGTCAGCTTTGCAACTTGCTCACCTGTGAAGCCTGGACAATGATGGGCACTCCAAGCAGCCGTTGCCCAGTCAGCCCAATGGCCAGCGGCACAGACTGGATTTCACAGAATTCCACGTAGGCGATGCCCTTAGAACGCCGGGAGTTCCGATCGGAGATGATTCGGACATCACGTACCTATCCAGGGCAAGAAGGAAATCCTGAGTTGGGCATAAAGGAGAATGGACAGAAGACAGCTATACATGGGAGAAAGCTAAGGCGGGGGCAGGGGGTGGGGGAAGGTTACCTTGCCGACAGCAGAGAAAAAGTCCTCCAGGTCCCGAGGCCGAATGCGGGCAGCTAACTGCATACAGAAAACTGTGCGAGCATCACGCTCCTCGGGACTCAGATTATCAATGGGCTCCCTGAAGAGCGAGTGCAATCTGGTGAGACGCCCACTCCTGATACATGGTTATTATTCTCCAGCTCCCCCTCCAGTACCACACATTCCTGTATTCTGGCTCAAACGGCTTTCTAGTCATACCTCACAATCCCTGGAAGAGTGTTCACTATCAACTCACCTGACCGGGCTCTTTTCTCTGAAATGAGGACTCTTACTGTGTGTGTACCTGCGCCTATGGAACAGAGAACAACAAACGGAAAATCGTGTCATCTGATTTCACCCGCGTTGGTCCAATGCTTAGTCTTCAGGCACGAGAAAACCTGATTCCAGCATCTCATCTCACGTGGGAATTGTCAACACCACCCCTCCAGTACCAGAGTCTCCTGCCCGCCGCATCGGGTTTTGAGCACCCGCAGGCAGGAACCACAGTGCGGGGGGTTTACCCAGACCCCAACACAAAGGCCATCACCATATGAGCAAGAGGCGATACCCAGCGGCAAGCGGCGGGCTCCTGTAGCGCACGCGGTCCTCACGCCGCCGGTCCCGACTGCGTGTCTCACTGCTGTGCCGCCGGTCCCGGCTCCGGCTGCGGTGGCGACGCTGCCGGTCTCGACTTCGGCTCCGACTGCTTCTCCGCCTGTGCCGGTCCCGCTCCCGACTGCGGCTACAGTGCGAGGCACTACTGAGTTTGCTAAAGGGCAAACCAACCTCTTCCGGACTCCAAGGGATAGCTCTCCCATTTAGAGTAATTCCCGAAAGCCCCCAGAACTACTGACCTGCGCTTTCTATCCCTGCTTTTACTATGGCTCCGACTCCTCTTCTTCCTGTGAAGGAGGGGATAAATTCTTATTATCAAGAAGGTCTTCTCTCCCCCAAGGAAAAAGAACGACGGAAAGGCCAGGGTGGAACAGCAGTAAAAGACCAAAGAGCCCGAGGCGCCTCGGTGGCTCAGTCTTAAGCATCTTCCTTCAGCTCAGGTCATGATCCTGGGGTCCTGGGATCCAGCCCCACATTGGGGTCCCTGCTCTGCAGGAAGCCTGCTTCTCCCTTTGCCACTTGCCCTGCTTGTGTTCCCTCTCTCGCTGTCTCTCTCTGTCAAATAAATAAATAACATCTTAAAAAAAAAAAAAAAGACCAAAGAGCCCAAGATGACCTGGCATGAGTTCACAGCAATACCAACTTGCACACAGCCCTGAATGCTGTCAGGCTTCTGAAGTGGCCATTTCCTCCCAAAGCCCAGCAAAAGCTGCTGTTTCCAAATCAGGGGTCCCCTGGCTATTTTATTCAATTGAAACAGAATGATGCTAGAACAGAGCCGCAAGTCTATGCTGGAATGTGAAGACTAGAAGATCATTAAACCAAGTCACCATGATTCCCAGGACCCAGTGGAGCCATCACTAAAAATGAGCAGTCTTACAAGCAACCACCTCCCTGCTCTGGCTGTTTCTCCGATGGACGCAGTTGCTTCCCTTGCCCAAGTTGCCGACCCACTTCCTCATGCCACACTTACTTGCTTGCCTCCCCACCGGCGCTGCTCCCACTGGTGCTGGTACTGCTCATGCTGGTGTTGCTAGGGCCATCTTTTTTAACCTCTTTCCTTTGCTGTTCATCCTGGGGGGTTTGCCAGGAAAAATGTCACCAGGTATAAGGTGGCAGACACATACACATTCCATTGGGCAACAAAAGAACAAAAGTGGACAGAGAAGAAAGCTTGTGAAATCAAAGTTCACAATTATCTAGCCAGTTTCTGAGCACCTGGATCTCCTAACAAAGGGAATAAGAAGGAAGGAAGGAAACCACCCAAAAAGAAGAGCTCAGAGTGACAGATTTTAATGTCAAAACTTGAGCTACCCAACATTTGTTCCACTGACATCCATTTCCCAGGAGAGTGAGAAATTATTTAGGTCTGAGATACACTGACTTTCTACTGTGTCACTGAGAGCTCTGAGCAAAGCACTTATTCCCAGCACATTCTACCCGCCCCCCACCTCCTCCCGCTCCTTGCCCCAGCTTTGGGACCGTCTCTGCCAGCATTCCTCTGAGTATGGAAGCTGGAGAGTGGGGCTTACTAAAAAACTATGACTTTCACGAATAGCCACGATACATAATAAACAAGCAGGGAAAAAGAATTTACAAAGTATTGGCGCGCCTGGGTGGCTCAGTTGGTTAAGCGACTGCGTTCGGCTCAGGTCGTGATCCTAGAGTCCCAGGATCGAGTTCCGCATTGGGCTCCCTGCTCAGCAGGGAGTCTGCTTCTCCCTCTGACCCTCCCCCCGTCTAATGCTCTCTCTCTCTCTCATTCTCTCTCTCACATAAATAAAGTCTTAAAAAAAAAAAAGAATTTACAAAGTATTGAAACTGATGATCTATAACTGCTTCTTCTTACTAACCCAATTCCAGCAGTGAGATGGGGAATATTACCTCCTCTTTTTTATAGGGAGCCTCCAGCATGGCCTCAATCACTATATCAAAGTCATCGGATGCCATCGTAGCAGACCTGAAGAGAGGACGTGGATATGTAAGAACCTCATATTTTTCCTCCCCTTCTGGCACCCCACATTCCCTTCCTTCTCCAAGACATAGTCTTGAGAATATACAGTTCTGTTTCTTGAATTCCACAGGGATCTTCCTGGCTGTTGCTTACTCTAGGTTTATTTTTGCACATTTTAATTCTGAACTAGTTTTGCTCTGTGGCTTCGAAAAGGTAAAGTGTCTAGAAGGAAAATATCTAGATAGAAACAAAATACAATAAAGACCCTTTCCTGTGAAGAAAAAGTGTTGGCATTCAAAATTACTATTCACTTGACAATGGACACTAGGCCTCCATTCTACAATTCAAAATTCTGTATAAATAACTGGTTTAAACTTAAATCATAGAAATAAGCACATATTCCCAATAAAAAGGTAAAGATGTAAGACTAAAAATCAGGAACAAGACAAAACAACACCAGAATGCAGATCTGCCCTAAGCTCTTCCCCACATCCCCCACACAAACATCAATAATTAGGGGACTCATCACTAAGCATTTCCCATATAACACCAACTAGAATTCAGGTAATTCAGAAAGATAACGATTAAGACAGGCTTAACCAATTCCACCTGGAAGCCTGTCCAGGCAGGAAGGGTAAGACCTCCTGCCTCCCCAAGTGTTCACACCTAGCAATCATCTTTCCCAAGTCTGTCCACCTCAGGCCCATCAAATAAAAAAATAGTAATAACAATAAAAGAAACCCAGAAGATATCGGGGCACCTGGGTGGCTCAGTCAGTTATGTCTGCCTTTAGCTCAGGTCATGATCCCAGGGTCCTGGGACAGAGCCCCTGCTCGGCTCCCTACTCAGCGGGAAGCCTGCTTCTCCCTCTCCCTGCCGCTCACCCTGCTTGTGCATGCACTCGAGCTCTGTCAAATACATAAATAAAATCTTAAAAAGAAAAAAGAAAAACAAGACATCAAACAAAATCAATAGGATAAATTATTCAAAAAATACTGGTCTGGAATTATCAATATACACAACACATATGAATCTTAAAATAATTACGCTGAGTGAAGGAAGACAAAAATATACTGTGTGCTTCCATTTATAGGAAAAAATTCCAGAAAATGTAAACCAAACTGTACTGGCAGAAAGCAGATCAGTGGTTGCCTAGGGATAGGAGGAGGTGGAGAGGGGCTAGGAAGAAAGGATGACAAAAGGGCAGAAGAAACTTTTGGCGGTAACGGTTTCATGGGTATTTAAACATCAAAACTCATCAAACTGTACACCTTAATGTGGACAGCTTTATTTTATGTCAATTATACCTCAATAAAGCTGACCAAAAAAACAAAAAAAAACCTCCAACTAATCTGAAGAATTTCTGTGCAAGGAGGCTAATCATAATCAGACTTTCCATATCCGCAAGACCTTTGTCCTCTTTAAAGCAGCTAATGCATCATCCACTGATGCTGTCCTATAGCCTATTTTGGTGATTTAAGAATAAAACAGGAGGGCACCTGGGTGGCTCAGTTGGTTAAGCGACTGCCTTCGGCTCAGGTCATGATCCGTCCCGCATCGGGCTCCCTGCTCAGCAGGGAGTCTGCTTCTCCCTCTGACCCTCCCCCCTCTCATGCTCTCTCTTTCTCATTCTCTCTCTCAAATAAATAAATAAATAAAATATTAAAAAAAAACAGGAGTATAAAAAGTAATAACCAATATAAAATAAGTAATATATAAATATTACTTATTTTACGTTATAGAGCCCATAGCCTATTTTGGTGATTTAAGAATAAAACAGGAATACAAAAGTAATAACTAATATAAAATAAGTAATATAAAAATACGACTAATCACTCCTACAGTACCTAATATTGCTAGGTACTGTACTAAACCTGTTACAGAGACAAGACTCTTGGAAAGAGCAAAACAAAAATTACCTGGAGCCAAATTTAAGACTTAAAATGGAAACCAAATCAAAATCAAATAGGTGTGTCTAAGAACCTACGACTCCTGATCTCAGGGTTGTGCATTCCAACCCCATGTTGAGTGCACAAATTACTTAAAAATAAAATCTTAAAATAAAAACAGTGAACTCAATCGTTTATCATAAAAACACCATACATTTATTTAACAATCAAAGGTAACATATGCTACAAGCAGCTATCAGGTCCAATGCACGATGAAAAAACTGAGGTTTTGTGAACTGCCCAGAATCACAAAGCTTAAATGGAGATGCTGACTCTTGATTAAGGTCTCCTGACCCAAAGTCTAACGTCTTACCAATTCTATCAGGTTACCTCTCCTGTACTTTATAATTCAGCCTTAAATTTTTTTTTAAAGATTTTATTTATTTATTTGAGAGAGAGAATGAGAAAGAGAGAGCATGAGAGGGGGGAGGGTCAGAGGGAGAAGCAGACTCCCTGCCGAGCAGGGAGCCCGATGCGGGACTCGATCCTGGGACTCCAGGATCATGACCTGAGCCAAAGGCAGTCGCTTAACCAACTGAGCCACCAAGGCGCCCTCAGCCTTAAATTTTAAAAAGAAGAGTACACAGCATACCGAGATGTCCAGTTTTTGGTTTTTTTAAGATTTTGTTTTTAAATAATCTCTACCTCCAACGTGGTACTCAAATTTACAACCCCTGAGATCAAGAGTCTCATATTCTACTGACTGAGCCAGCTAGGTGACCCAAGATGTCTACTTTTATTTTTTATTTTATTTTTTAAAATATTTTTTTTTAAATTTATTTGACAGAGTGAGAGCACAAGCTGGGAGACAGAGGGAGAAGCAGGCTCCCCGCTTGCAAGGCTCCATCCCAGGACCCCGGGATCATGACCTGAGCCAAAGGCAGCCGCTTAACCGACGGAGCCACTGAGGCACCGCCCCCCGCAAGATGTCTACTTTAAATACACACTCATCTAAGGAATTACTATTCTGAAAGGTTTATCAAAAGCATTAGTCCCATTAGTCACACCTTATTATGTGGCTTCTAGATATGAAGCAGCATATACTTCAAAATATCAGGACCAAACTTATTGTAATGCTATTTGATTGTGGAAAAATGGTTTTTAAAAATAAAAGATTTCAATCTACAATTTCTGTTCTTTCCAGTCATTTTATCCTGCCAAGTCTATGCAAGTTTTTTTTTTTCTCTAAAAGTATTTATTTATTTAAGTAATCTCTACATCCAACATGCTGCTGGAATTCACAACCCCGAGGTCAAGAGTCCTATGCTCTCAACTGAGCCAGCCAGGTGCCAAGTCTATATAAGTTTTCTAAATGTCATACAACTCCTCTTTATTTTTTAAAATCTACTTTTTCCTCCCCAAATGAAATGCTTCTGATTTTAAATCATTACTCTTTGTTGACTCCTAGTACAGGATAGGATTAACTTAACACATGCACAAAAACTTTCACTCAAGTTGACATATGAGCCACCACGTATGGAGTAAAGTTTTCACTCAGGTACTCAGAAATGAATGAATCTATTTAAGCACGGACATACAGAACGTGAGCACATTTTGAAACTTGCAATCTCACTCGGTTTGGTGTATCTTTTCAGATGTCCTAGAAGCAGTAAAGTCCCAAACACTATGCATTTTCAAGTAGGCAGTTTTCAAACTCTTCCCATGTTCTATATCAAGGGTCAAAGTCCATCAATCCCATGCACTAAAAAACTATAGAGCCTTCTTCCATCCCTGCTCCAAAAACTGCATTAGGGGTGGGCCCACAATCACGCAAGGGTCTGGACTTTGTCATAGCATAGTCAAGACCCCAACAAGCACTTAGGCCTCACTGCTGAAGGGACAAAGGAGAGTGAAGAACCACTGTCAGCTCAGTTCAGGCAAAAGTCACCACATGCTGAGTCTCGGGGTGATGGGTCCAGTCACAGAGCTGGGCACAAACACCTCCAAATTGAAGGCAGCTTATTAAGAATAGGAATAATGAGAAAAAAATAAATAACAGGAACAATGAGAAAGGTAAAATACATTCCTGCTGTGTAACAAGCCAAGGCTACACTTTAAAAAATGGTCCTATGAGTAACCGATTCGCACCGTCCCTGCGAGGGCCAGTCCCAATGCTAAAACCCTTATGTGGCCTCACTATACTCCTGTACCGCCACGGAACGTGTGGTCAAAAGAAGGAACCAGGGAAAAGCCCAGAGGCCAACACAATGAACATGAGTCTTCCAGAGCCTGAAGATTGAGAAGTCTGTCTCAGTGTCTCAGTTTAGTCTAACCTCAGTGTCTTAGTGTCTAACCTCTCTCGGAGTGGTGGCGCTACGAGCTGAAAATCCATCCTGCGAGCCCTCTCCGACTGCGGTGGGTCGATGCTCCCCCCTTCCCCGCCCCAGTACGGGCGACCCTAAACGTCAGGGCTGCGGGGACCTGTTAAGAGATCGGTCACTGGGATCCTTGAGACAGCATCTTCATCTTTAAGAGATACGGCCACGAGGATGCCGAGCCCTAAAGTCATGTCAGCGGGCTACACTCTGGGAGCGAACACTTCCAGACCAAAGTAAACAAAAATATTTTCTTAAGTTTGCCTAATTCTGCTCTTGACGCCATTTTCTGCCTGTGACGTCAGGGGGCGGCGCCGTGCGGCAACGTCACGCATAGGTGACGTCGCGGGGGGACCGGGTTTCGGGGTTTCTCACCAGTTCCGGGTCCCCGCGGGCGGGGTCCCGGTTTCCGCCGTTCCTTTGGGTGTATTGGGGACGCGAAGCACGGATATTTTCCAGAGTCTCAGCAGTAAAAGCAGCACCGCGGCCGGAGCTGCTCGTCTTCCCGCAAAATGGCGGCAGCTCCGCGGTCTTCCAGAACTTTCCCCAATCTGCGCAGGCGCCGAAACATTCAGGCTGTGGAACTAATCACTGGTGTCGCGGCAACAGTCCAAAGTACAGATTTTCATTGGCCAAAACCCTAAGCATGGGTGGAGCCAAACTCAAATGTTTCTTAGCAACCATCAAGTTCCCATCGATTGGCTAACCTCTCCGAGAGTGGAAGCCTCCTAAGGCGGCCGCCCATCGCCCTCTCATTGGTTAGGTGACATGCGAAAGGCGGAGAACGCGGGCAAAGAATCAGCGTGGACTCTCCTGCCCCACTCCCGACTCCAAGTGACTAGGCCAGCGCCGCGGGCGAAGACAACAAGGAAGTACAATTGGCTTCTTTGCTACTCTCTACATTTCCTAGGAGGGTCACGTGTCCTGCTTAGCCGCGACAGCCTCGGGGAGAGCAACTGCACGTGTTCCACGTCAAGAAGGTTGCTGGCCGGACATCCCCATTCTGAGCGGGTGGTCTACACAGCCCTCCCAACTATCTCCTCCTGCCCTCAGTGCTTGGACCCCGGGAAACACAAGTCTTGCCACATGTTTGTCTTCTTTCACAGTCTGTCTTATGGTCATTGCCTGGTCCCACAGGCACACACCTCCCATTGCAAAAATAAAGTTGGAGGTTTCTCAGGTGACTCCTTGGGTGCAGCCATACTCAGCCCTCTAACCAGAAGAGCAGGAACCGATGTCCACTCTCACGTTCCAAGGGCTTCCAGAATCCCCATACTTTAATTGCCCAATATATTAGCTGCCAGAAACATAGCTGGTTAGAACATCTAGAGAGCCAGAGTCTGAGATCTGTGTTTCAGTCTTGATTTGAATACTAACATTATAACTTAGTGTCAGTTTCAAATTCCTCCTCTGTAAAATGGAGAATTGGGACTCCTGACTTCGAAATCTAACCATGTGAGTTTATTCAAACAAAACAGGTGGCTTCTTGCTGGAGATGCCTGCATGGCTTCCAGTTTCCCTCCCAAGAGGTAGCTGTCAGGAAAGTGGAAGGGAAGCTGGCTTTACTCACTACTCCCATCTTTCTCCACTGGGGCAATCTTTCCTCCCCAGAGAAAAAACTAATCACAAGTCTTAATGGACAAGACCTTTTTGCAGCTGGTCAGGAAAACCTAGACCCAGAAGTCCAAGAGTGACCATTAAGCTTCCTAAATAGGAAACAAAGTGAGGACCCTTTGGATCTTGGATAAAGGCACAGATTGAATATGCCTAGGTTTAAGTAAGGTATGAGAAAGCAGAGGCGCAGGGCAGCAGGGCTGGAGCAGGAAAAGGCTGTAACTTCACTTTATTTGTATTTCCTCCCACACAAAACCATCATAACAGGAACAGAGATGGGCAGGGAAAGGGCTGAAAATGTGTTCAATCCACATGTTCTCGGGGCTATTCCAGGGAGCGCTTGAGGCTGAGTGCCTGTTGGAGTAGCTTCAGATCCAGCACTAATTCCTCCCACCCTGGCCTGAAGTCTTCACAGATAGGTGGCTTGAGCCCTGCAATTAATTCTCATCCTTTGCCCACCTTGATGTAAGGTAGGAAAGCAGACTAAAATGCTCCACTCTGATGGGCAAGGGGAATCACAGCCCACAGATGTACTGCACTTTCTGTGCCACAGGAGCAGAACTTGAAGCTGCTTCCAAGGCTCTGAACACTTGCGGGCAGGGCTAGAGGCCGATGGTGTATGAGCGGCCTGTGGGGTTGTGAATAGCAGAACAGACTGGTGCTGTCACAGCCCACTCATACCACACCTTCTTGGAATTGCTGCATCGCCAGAAACGCACACAGATGGTCTGGCCTTCACGTACCGTAATGGGCTGCTGCAAGAAGAAAGACAGGGAGGTTCAGGGTAGAGCTAATGAACTGTATGTGGCAATGTACTACTGAGCTAAGCGTGGAGAGAAAAGGATAAGACGTGACGTTCCAACCCTCATGAAGTTTATTTGAAGTCTTTTTTTTATTTTTATTTTTTTATTTTTTAAAGATTTATTTATTTGACAGAGAGAGACACAGCAAGAGCGGGAACACAACCAGGGGGCGTGGGAGAGGGAGAAGCAGGCTCCCCACCGAGCAGGGAGCCCGATGCAGGGCTTGATCCCAGGACCCTGGAATCATGACCTGAGCCGAAGACAGACGCTTAACGACTGAGCCACCCAGGCGCCCCTATATGAAGTCTTTCAGAATGAATAATCAGAACGGAACCATCAGACATTGAACAGATAACTGAAAGTGTGAGGAGTGCCGTGAACATGCAGAGAACATGCACTACAAGAGCACCTATGAGAGGGAGTGCGCACCTAGTCCCGGTGGTCAGGGAAAATTATCAGACAAGAGGAATGTTTAAGGGGACCTGGAAGATAAGTTAACTGGGTGAAGAGATGAACAAAGAACTTTCTAGGCAAAGGAGAAAGGTGTGAAAGCCTGAAGCAGGAAAGAAGACAGGGTATCAGAATCATGATGAGCGCTGAGTAATGTACAGATTTGCTGAATCATTATGTTGTACACCTGAAACTAATATAACACTGTTAATTATATTTCAATTTAAAAAAAAAAAGGTCCACAGGGCTGACACGGCAATGTAATCAAGGGGACAGTAGCTGAAAAGACAAATTAAAACTAGATCACACCAAGTCTTACAATGTTAAATCTTTATCCTGAGGGCAGTAGGAGGTCATTGAAGGGTTCTTTGTTTTGTTTTGTTTTTTAAGATGTATTTATTTGAAAGAGAAAGAGAGCGCGTGTGCAAAAGTGGGAGCGGCAGGGAGAGAGAGAGAGAGAATCCCAGGCAGACTCCATGCTTAGTGCGGAGCCCACAGGATCCTGAAATCACAACCTGAGCCGAAAGCAAGAGTCAGACACTTAATTGACTGCACCACCCAGGCAGCCCAAAGTCGTTGAAGGGTTTTAAGCAGGACAGAAATATGATCGGATCTGGGTTTTAAAAAGATGACTCTAGCTAGAGACTGGACAGAAGAGTAGACAGGAGCTGGGGGAAGCCAAGCAGAAGGGCACTGAAGACATCTCAACACCTACAACGGGGATCCAAGAGCATGTGGGAGCAGTAGAACATGGGTCACAGTCAAGCATCATCCTGACAGTAGGGAAGGGGCAGAACACCAATGGCAAAAGTTACTCCTTAACGCACTGAGTGTTAAAGGTGATTCCTACCTTAATGGGGAAGAGGATGGGAAACCATGAGAACATCCCAGGAGAGTGAGTCTCTGGACGGATACCTGTGTGGAAAAAATAATGAAAAATCGAGGTCTCTGTGACTCTACTTTTTGCCTGGGTTGAGAGAAGTGTCTTCTGTGAACAGAGAAATAAGTAATCAAAGACCCACATTCACTGATTCCTGGGCTCCCTGTGACTCTAAGTGAAACATTACATAAGCTGCCCAGATAACATACTCAAACCCTGCCATCCACTGCCCCAGACACTCACTCAGGGTGATGTCCTGATAAAGCACAGTCTCAAAGTAGCCTGCAAAGCCATGTAGCACTGTGTTCACCTCCACGGGAAACTCCAAGGTACAGTAGCGGTTGTTGTCAATCAGAGGATCTGTTAGGGAAGAGATGTGTGGATGACAAGGGACCAGAAGCTCTAGACAACTTGGGAAAGCAAGAGCAAGAACTAAGAAGGGAAGCCTAGAGGGAGCAGACCCAGGATAGCAAGAGAAGTACCCAGAAGGTAAGTTCTCACCCATCCAATCAGAGGACAGCCACACAGGAACCCACCTCTATTGGGATGGCTGAAGGTGAAACAGGGCTGGGGCGCAGAGAGCTGGTGGAAGTTGTGTAGCCGCACCACGTAAGGCATCTCAAACTGGGCCTGTCCCGAGAGACCAAACAAGAGCTGGAGCAGATAGACAAGACATATCCACTCTCCCAGGGAAGGAAGCCTGAGCCTCCAGGACACAGAAAAGGATAAAAACATTTTCAATTCAACCACTTTCCCACATTCCCATCTCCTTCACCTCTTCATCTTCTCCAGTAGAAGAAAACAGTTGAGGCTAACATAGAAAAAAAAAAAAAAGAGGACTAAAGAGAATAGAGCTCTCCAGAAGAGAGTGGCTTTTTACCTCAGGGTCTCGGTCCTTTTCCCGACAGGCTCGCACCTCATTGTACAGCTTGGAGGAGGAGATGGGAGCCAGAAAGGAGGTGTACTCCCCAGGGATGCTCACACCGTCATCTGCAGAGCAGGGCGGGGTCATAAAAGTTCCCAAGGGATGAAATGGTGTGTCTGACTAACTGAAGGTTCAAACCTCCCACATCAAAACAGACCAGGCAGGGGCACCTGGCTGGCTCAGTTGGTGGAGCGTGCAACTCTTGATCTCAGGGTTGTGAGTTCAAGCCCCATGTTGGGTGTGGGGCCTACTTAAAATAAAAATTAAAACAAAACAAAACAAAACAAAAAATCCCAAAAAACAGACCCAGGCTGCTCCATGTTGTCACACTCCCAGGCCAACCTACTCCCAACTCCTGTCATGGGAGATTCTACTTCTAGATTAATTTACAAGATTGAAACTGGAAAGAACCAGGGGCGCCTGGGTGGCTCAGATGGTTAAGCGTCTGCCTTCGGCTCAGGTCATGATCCCAGGGTCCTGGGATCAAGCCCCACATCGGGCTCCTGGCTCAGCGGGGAGCCTGCTTCTCCCTCTCCCTCTGCCTCTCTCCCTGCTCATGCTCTATCTCTGTGTCTCAAATGAATAAAATCTTAAAAAAAAAACAAAACTGGAAAGAACCTAAGATATTCTAATCTAGTGGTCTTCTGTGGGGTCATAAAAGCCCTTTAAGATCTGGATGAAAGCTAAGCCCAAGGTACGTATCATGTCGGTGCGGGGAATCCACAGACCTCAGACTGAGAAACTCTGCTCTAGTCCACTCCTGTCATTTTACAGATGGGAATGCTGAGGTTCAGAAAGATTACTTCATTTGCTAAGGGCACTGACCCAAATCCAACCCCC